TCAAACGTTAACTATGTGGCAGGCAGGCAGTTTGATGGAGATAGGAGCCAGCTTACTGGCTCCTATCTCTATCAAAATAGGGGAAAAGATATTGCAGGCTGTGTTCGATAGTAGGACAGAATGCCCAATCATGCGAAAATCAGTTGCTATAGTTCTGGTCAAGCAGCAGTCAACTATTTGAATGGGATTGGGCAATTTCCAGCATTATCTTTAACTAAGCTTACAACCGTATGCTTTATAGACACCATCAGTATTGAACTGTAGTTTTATGTGTTACCTGACTGTGAAATGTCAACAGATATCCTAGTGGGTATGAACCTGATTCATGATTCCAATCTGAATATGATACATCCAACGGGACGAAATTAGTTCATAACCCACTTGTCAATCATGTGAGTACGAATTCTCCTGTTTTCGATAATTTGGACTGTGAATTGACCAGCGAAGAAGAAATTGCACAACTACGTGGACTTCTGCATAAATACAAGCATTTATTTATTCGTGGGTATCCTAAAAATCGGGTCAATACCGGTGAGTTGGATATCAGATGAAAAATCAAGATAAATTCGTCGAAAGAAGACTATATCGTCTTAGTCCAGTGGAAATGGAAAAGGTACGTACCATAATTCAAGAGTTATTGGAACATAATATCATACGTGAAAGAAAATCACCTTACTAAAGGCCTATCATCTTAGTCAAGAAGAAGTATGGTGATGATCGACTCTGTGTCGACTTTCGAGAACTCAACTCTAATACTCTACGCGATCATTATCCGTGATTGACCAGATTGACCAGCTAGCAAATGGCCGTTTTTACACAAGCCTCGATATGGCAGCTGGTTTTCACCAAATTCCTATCGCTGAAACCTCTAGAGAGAAGACCGCCTTCGTCACACCAGATGGGCTATATGAATACCTCACCATACCATTTGGTTTGAGTAATGCTTGTTCTGTTTACCAGAGATGCATCAACAAAGCTCTGACTTCATTGCTGGGAACAGCTGCACAGGTTTATGTGAATAATGTGCTGAGTAAATGTGCAGATTTTCCAGAAGGAATATCACACCTAGAGTGGATTGTCATAGCACTACAAGATGCCGGATTTTCTATCAACGCCGAGAAGTGCAGTTTCTTCAAACGATCCATCGAATACCTCGGAAATGTAGTTTCTTATGGACAAGTACGACCAAACTCACGTAAAGTGGAAGTTCTTGTGAAAGCTCCAGTACCTAAGACGGTGAATCTCGATAGAGAAGACCGCCTTCGTCACACCAGATGGGCTATATGAATACCTCACCATACCATTTGGTTTGAGTAATGCTTGTTCTGTTTACCAGAGATGCATCAACAGAGCTCTGACTTCATTGCTGGGAACAGCTGCACAGGTTTATGTGAATGATGTGCTGAGTAAATGCGCAGATTTTCCAGAAGGAATATCACACCTAGAGTGGATTCTTATAGCACTACAAGATGCCGGATTTTCTATCAACGCCGAGAAGTGCAGTTTCTTCAAACGATCAATCGAATCCTCGGAAATGTAGTTTTCGATGGACAAGTACGACCAAACCCACGTAAAGTGGAAGCTCTTGTGAAAGCTCCAGTACCTAAGACGGTGAAGCAGGTGAGACAGTTCAATGGGCTTACAGAATACTTCAGGAAATATATTCCTGACTTTTCACGCATAATGCTACCGTTGTACGAACTGACAATACAAGGTGCAAAATGGACATGGACAGACAACCACGTGAAAGCACGTAACACAATCATCGCATGCTTAACGTCCGCACACGGTTCCATAACAACGGACGCAAGGAAGCACCCATACAACTATATACGGATGCTAGCAGTCTTGGATATGGTGCAGTACTGGTGCAGGTGATCGACGGACGTCAACATGCGGTTGCCTTTATGAGCATGAGGACTACTGAAGCGGAAAGCCGATACCACTCCTATGAGTTCAAAACTTTAGCAGTGGTAGGCGCTATAAAACACTTTCGCCAGTACTTGCAATGCACTGAAAGCGTCCAAGCACAAGAATGACCTTTTACCGAGGATTCATCGTTGGGGAAAATTCTTACAAAACTTTGACTTTAAAGTAGGGTACCGCAAGGGTGAACGCCTCCAACATGCTTACTTTTTCAACAGTAACCCGACTGAGTATGCAGTCAATGTTATGATAAGAGACTTGAACTGGCTGAAAATTGAACAGCGACGCGATGACGAACTGCGATCTTTAATAGACAGCCTTAGTGAAAATAATCTCGTAGAGTACAATGTCTTGGAGGATAATGTCTTGAAAAAACAAGTAAACGATCCTGTTTTTGGTCAGCAACTTAATACAGTTGTCCCCAAGGCCTTACTGGCTGGGAAAAGACATTACAGAAGATCAGAGAAACTTATTGGTTTGACAAAATGAATTCTGCTATTCGAAGATTTGTAGACAATTGTTTTATATGCCGAACATTCAAAGGAAGATCTGGTGCTATCCAAGCCCAATTACACCCAATACAAAACCTTTCTACCTAATACTAAAATATTTTTGGATTTTTCTAAGTTAAAAACAGTTTTTTTACATTATAAAATTGTTATGAAAGTTTTTGTGTGAATATAATTTATCTTTTTACGTAAATAGTTTTGAGTAATATATAGAAATAATAGTAATTTTCACGCTACCCACATCCGCTTGGTATGTAGTTATCAAAATATAATAAAGGCATTTTTGTAATGATTAATATATTGAGTAACCGACTTTTGTTTGAACTATAAAATAGAAATTTTTGTATAGATTCTATAATGCTAAACTTCTTTATAGAAAAAGTTTTAAATTGCTCTGGGTGGGTAAGGTCGCATGCAACCGCTCGGGATTTGACGACGCTTGCTACTGCATGGGAATTTTAAGGCGATTGAGGGGCTAGAGGAAGTAGGAGTGATGAATATAAGGAAATGGTCACTACAAGTATTGCAAGTTCTGTTAAGACATTACATCAGGATTAGGAATGTAAACAGAAAAAATTGAGATATCAAGGGCCTTAATAGCAACAGCATTTGTTGCTGGACTGTGAGAAGGGAGAGAACCTTGTGAAAATGTAACTGTTCTCGAAATTAACATAGGGGTACCAGGACTACCATCACTCCTATCATCCCGGAGACATGCGTAGCCTGAAACCCTAAAACGGGACTCAAGCCTAAGCCCCATCTTTTGCATGGCAAGAATGAAGGGATGAAATTTATTAATGGGTTAAATGAGTTCATTTTTTTATAACTAATGTTCCGACAATTTCATTGTAGAACTGGTGGAGTTGCGTGTTGCGCGATATTATTAGCTAATGACGAAAGCTCAGTAAGTTTCTGACGTAAATTACATGGAAATTCAATGTCACTAAAATGGGATAACATACTAATACGCATGGAAATGAATAGCTCAAAAAATTTATCGTTTAGTGAAATGGAATTTTTCTCTGTTAAGGCACATCCATTAGACAAAGCAGAGGCAGGGGTTTCAGTAATTGCATGATGAGCAGATTTGTCATATCCAGTACCTGATGCTGGATTCGGAAAATGTCTGGCAATGAATATAGTTTTTCTGTGGGAGGATATTTGGGAAGGTAATGATGTAGATAAATCACTTGGTACAGTATGGGAGATTTGCTCGATATTACCTTGTAGAGCTCTTGTGATATCTGCAAAAGATCTTCTCACTTAAGGGAATCTTGCTGAGGCTGAGACTGAGGCAGAGAAAAATAAATAATAATACTCGAATTTCAAAAAATATAGTTGCCTTTCGATGTCAAACTATCGATAATTTTTATTGTGATAATTAATTTACATACATTTACAAATTTGAATTGGCTTGGGTAAAAAGCATCGATAATAAATTTAGAGTATCGAATTCGTATCAATTTAAATGATATTACAAAATGTTATATTTATTTTATAATTTAATAAACAAAATACGAATCAACAAAAGCCAGCATGTGGTGTTGTCATGTTCTTTTCGTTGTCAAAACGTCCAGTAATAAAATTTTGGCTCTAACCTTACTACATCGTGCAAAACATGAAGATATATCGATATTTATCATGCGATATATTGGAACAGTTTAAAAATATTGATATATATCTTTCATTTGGCCATCCCTATGACTGAGTAAGATCGTGAAATCAGTGCAGTGTAATAACTGACGTCCCTAATTAGGGGTCCACGCTGCCCCTAAATTCAAGGACCTGATTCAGTGTAGTGTATTAGGGGCATAAATCTAAACTATTGTTACGAGCTTAAGGTACGTGACAATAAAAATTGCCGATAAAATTACCTAAATTAACACTTTAATTTTCTTTACACAAATTAAAACTTAAAACAGCAATAATTAATTACACTGATTCACTTTATTCCGCTCCGAAGCTTCGCTTGTCTCGCCGAATTGAATACTTCCCCCGATCGCACCTTGCAGCGCCTATAAATACACATTAGTACCGAATCATCCAGAACATTCAAGTAAATACGCGCACCAATCGACAAAGCGCCGAAAGTTCGAGGTCAGCTTCCAGAAGCTTAGTTCTTCGTTTCGACAACAGATGGCGTTGTCGGTTGAAACATTAGTGATGTTATTTTCTGAAAAGCTCTCCCCTCGTTCCGTTACCGACACTAGATGGCGCTAGTGCCAGATGTCAACTTAGCCGCGTAACACTATTAATTAACACTTACTTTTAAATTATTATTAACTAATTATTAATAATTATAGTATTTTAAAACCAACACTAAGACAAATTTAGGTTAATTAAAGCAAATCAATCGACAACTCCTTTATGCCTTTTATTTTTGACTTTTCCGGTGTACATTCTACCGGTTAACGACAGCAACACTGTTTCCGAAACGTCAAATGAATTGATTTTCCTTTCGTTTGTTGATGCGGTGTCGCGAATAATGCTTGTTTTTATTTTTAATATCTATTAAAAATGATATTATAGTGTAATTTGAATCGATAAATTTTAAAGTTAGCAGCCATGAATATCTTAGAAAAGGCAGAAAAATCGTTAGAATATCTTAAAACTGAAGAAGGAACTGCAAAGTAAGTTTATGAATCTATTACTTTCATCGTTCAGTGTTTCTTCGCGATTTGAGAGTATTAGTTGCTAACTATTTCCAAATTACAGAGGACATGAACTTCAATCTGCGGCTGGAACACTTGGACGTTGTCTAGGCGCTTTAGGAAGTCGCCCGAATTGTGCTAGACATTACGCAAACTTATTGCACTCCGCCGTTCCGACTTTGCTGTCTTTGGCTAGTAATGATAGTGTGAGTAACTACTACTACATTCGTTTCATGCCCTTATTTTTATAGAAAAATTCATTAATTCATATAATATCATAAATGTCATGATAAATATGGTTGTAATTGTAAATTTTTGTGTGAGAGTAGCTTACTAAAAATTTATATTATTTTGGTCCATGTACTACAATCATGGGAATGCTAGTTAAATGAATCTAAAAGAGCAAGTGAAAGGGTTACAAAATGTAAGAATTTATTTGAAACTTGTTAAATTATATTCCATGTACGTTATAATCTATAATTTAATATGTTGAATGTTTACCTACACCAATAATTTGATGGAATAGAAAAAAGAGAGCAGGAACTTGAAATAATATTGGTATTCTAAATAATATGGTATTCTGCCCACATGCAAAATATGGGCTTAGATGTAGAGTTACAGAAAACATCCTGTTGTTATCTATCTATCTAATATGGCATTCTAAAGATGAATACTACATTACAGCCCTTCACAAGTCCACTGCTGAACATAGGCCTCCCCCAACGTATGCCACAAGGCACGGTCCTGAGCCACCTGCATCCATTGACTTCCTGCATGTCTTACCAGGTCGTCACTCTATCTAGTGGGGGGTCGCCCTACACTTCGCCTGCCGGTACGAGACTGCTACTCCAGAACCTTTTTTCCCCAACGGTTGTTGGTTCTTCAAGCTATATAGCTGGCCCATTGTTACTTCAGCTTATTAATCCGTTGTGCTATGTAGGTCACTCTGGTTCTACTGCGGATATCCTCATTTCTAAGTTTATCACGCAGAGAAACTCCATGCATAGCCCTCTCCATAGCTCACTAAGTGACTTTAAGCATCCTCATACGGCCAGCAGTGAAGGACCACATCTCGGTTCATCATCTGTCAACACGCACTGGTTGTACAACTTAGTTTTCAGGTTTTTAGGTATACCTGACGAGAAGATGTGTCGTAATTTCCCGAACGCTACCCAGCCGAGTTGAATCCGTCGATTGATCTCTTGGTCGAAGTTAGACATACCTAGTCGAACTATTTGTCCCAGGTAAATGTACTTGTCAACAACTTCGAGCTTAGTGCTCCCAAAAACTACTGGCATAGGTGTGACACGGATATTAAACATGACCTTTGTTTTGTCCATGTTCATCTTAAGACCTATCTGTTGGGACCACTATTTAGGTCATTGAGCAGAATGCTTAAGTCCTCCAGCAATTCTGCCATAAGGACTATATCATCGGCAAATTGAAGGTGAATGATGTACTCGCCATTCCCTCATAAAGACCCTCATAAGACTAAAGCTAAACTTATGTCTCCCCATTAAACCCTCAATCGCAATAAAAATCCCATGCAATTGCATGCGCTCGGCAGATCTCGAGCAGTCGCAAGCGACTGCACCCATCCGCAGCATTTAAAACCATTAAAACTTATATTTAGAGACTACTTTCTATGAAGAAGCTTGGCATTATAAAATCTATACAAAATTCTCTATATAAAAGTCGGGTTTTACTTCATTACAAAAAGACTATTGTATTTTGATAACAAAAACAAAACATACAAGTGAATGTTGGGAGCGTGAAAATCGCAATTATTTCAATATATATTACTCGAAGTTATTTACGTAAAAAGATAAATTATATTCACACAAAAACTTTTATTACAATTTTATAATAGAACACTAATAAAACACTAGAAAAATCCAAATATCAACACACGAAAATGGTGTGAAAATGAACGTAGATTATAAATAAATATCCATAGGATAACTTTACTTTTTTGCACTAGAGGATAGAAAATTTCATATTGATTCCATAATGCCAAACTTCTTCATAGAAAAGTAATCTCTAAATATAAGATTTAATGGTTTAAAGTGCTGCAGATGTGCGCGGTCGAATCCGACCGCTTGAATTTTGACGGAATAGCGCCGCGGTCGGATTCGACCGCTTGGGGAAAGACGGGTTAATGCCTCGAAACATGTTCTTGACCTACCTGCACCCTAGTCATAGTGCATAGGTAATATGTATATATTTCCATCCCAAGAGTAATCTTTCATCCAACATAAGTGAAATTACTGATGATGTCGCTCCTGACTTGTTGCATCCAGTATATGGACCAAGATTGAGCCATCCTGTAGCTATATTATAGTTGTAGCACAAATGTGTCAGCTCGACCGGGGCAGGACCATGCTCTCACAGAATACCAGCGTAAAATAGCAGCGTAATGCTGCTGTGTTACGTATGGTGAGTGTAGAGAACCGCAGACCCTTTTCACATGAATCGAGGCATTCCATCGTAGTCCTCAAGGATGACAATGCATTTACATTTTGATTATTAATTGAAGATAAATGTGGATGTCTATGGGCCACAGCACTTACTATCAGGTAGACTGTATGCTTGTTTGTCACCTAATGCTATAAAAAATCAGCCAACAGACTTCATATTATCGGTGTACCATCTGGGCATAAAATTTGCGTGGACGTTCCACACAACCGTAGGTCTCTACTTCTTGGCGTATATCAACGCTATATTCAACTTTTTCTTCATCTATTACTCCACATATCCTGTTACTGTATATTGTAAAGATTTCTAAAGTTTTTGTCAACTCATATTGATGATTTAATTACTTCCCCAAAGTGAACTGATAATATGGGCTGTATGGGTTAAGAAAAACAGGGGACGGGAGCTTCCTACGATTCGCGCTCGGGCACGTGGCGAATATTTGTTTACTGGCTAATGGTTGCATGGACAGTAATTTGGAGTTTTGGAATCGTCTCTGCAAAATCGTAAAAATAAAGTGAGAATTTTGAGATCCCAATTCAATCAACAGTTTTCTTGCAGATCAGAGCATTAAGGAAGTAGTATGCAATGCGTGCCCCATTTACTAGGCTATTGACGCTAGTGTTTCACAAGGCTGCGTGTTATCACCAACGCTGTTTCTCCTGAATATCAATGATATAAAGATATATCAATGATTTATTGCTATGCGGATGACAGCACTGGTGATGCTTTATACTCCGGCTGTGCCAATATTTCTCGGGCAAATGTCGCAGCGTACCGGAGCAAATTTGTGATTAAAGTCAAGATTTTGTTTAACAAAGTGTCTGATTGGGCGTGTTTAAATTTAGTCAAGTTCAATCCCTCAAAAAAAAAAACCTCTTTTTCGTATTTCCTCAGTTTTAGGGCACTCCCCTTGTTGCCTCAGCCAATATCGGAATGCTCGGTGTCGACATATTGTATGTCGTGCAGTTTCGTGATAACTTGGAAGAGAAGGCCAATTCATATGGAATACTGTTACCATATCTGGGCCGGGGCTCTCCAGTGCCAGTTCCTTCCAATTGTTTATTGCATCTACCATGGTCCAGCCGCTCAATTTCACCATTTTAAAGATGATATAATAATATCAAAAAGTTAAATAATTTTTTGAATTAGTCTAAAGATTGAGTATGTTTTTATCTGACTCTGGATTCCTAATTCAACTGTATATTATTTTTATATACATGTATGTTATTTAACATCATCAATTGTGATATGCTTTTAACGATTCTTTCTAATAAATTGTATGCTGTCAACTAAAATGTTGTTTAAATAGTAACATTAAACTCGTCATTCAATATTTTTCCACCCTTAGAGGTAGAATTTCTTCAAATTTAAATGGTATCACCCCTGATCTGCTATATACTACATATAATGAAAAACGAAACCTAAAATAGCTGTTTTGTTTGTCACATGAATACTGTGTTACACCACATGTAAATTAAAATATATATAGATAAACTTTCCATTAATTATTGGTAAGCATTTAACAATAAAAAGAACAAAGCCTTTGTTATTAAATTAACTAACGAAATATCTTTATTTTTTAAAACAGTAAAAGAAATTATAACCTTCTTCATGAAATGTCACTATTTATGCAAATTTTCTTTTATCTTGCTCTAACTGGAGAAAAAAGTTGGGGAAAAAGCCCAGGCATCCCTTGTAAATTTATAATGTTCATATACATATATTATCCATATAGTAGGTATTGTGGTATGTTTAGAAATTATCTCATCTAAAAATTAAAATAAACCTCCATTGCGCAGCAAACCCTAACATGTCACTCTTTATGATCACCACCTGTTTACAAGTTTATGTGTGATAATTGAAGAAAGGGATTTTTTGATATAAAATAAATATTACAGATATCTTTAGTTATTATAAAATGAATTTCTGGTGACACTGTAGACCTGGACATAATATATTAGAAAATATATTTGTTAACTCATAGCCATCATTATTTAATTTTTTCTTCTTACTAAAAATTTGTTTATTTTCTTCTTCAGGCAGAGGTACGTCTAGTTGGAGATGAAGCATTAAATCGTTCTGTGGCTGGTGGGATTGCGTTCCACTCCTACAAAACTAATATAATACTACAGAATCAAATAGACCGCAATAGAAATGCCAGGTAAAGTGTAAAATATTTTTATATTGTCCTTTGTTATATTCAAATTAACGTTGAAAATTCTTATATAATTATATTTATAGGGTAGCCTTATTTTCAACCTTTGAAGATTGAATTAGTTTTGGCTTTTTTTTTGGAGGGAAAGGGAGGGGGCCAATGCATACCTGCCTCGCGGGAACAAGAATGGGTTATCTCGGACTCGCGCCAACTAAAATCCCATAGTGTTCCACCTTCGCCGCCTACGTAACGGTCTGCTCGAGTCCGATACGCGGAGGCCAGGAAAAACGAGCGCTCAGAAGCACTAGCTGTCCCGATCGCAGCGATGGACCAGGCCTCTGGCTCCGCCGTCAACAAAGTTTTGGCTATAGAGGTTAGGGGATTCATCTTCCGCCGGTCAAGGTATTCTGCCCGCGAATGAGTCGTCAGTGCTCCGTGTGGTAACCTGTGAAGAGTCCAGTTAACATGCTGAGTCGTGTGGTTGTTTTGCAAGTGTCCCCGTGTGCCTTATATTAGCTCATTCACATGTGGCATTATAAATATGTGTAATAATATCTAAATTATTTAAAAAGCTTCCGTCAGTATTGGAACTCTTGTCGCCGTGGCAGGAAATGACCTTGAATGATTTTGGTCTAGATGGATCAGAGCAGCACTTTCTCGAATATGTCTTGGCGACAGCTGGTTGCGGCCGGGTCCTGGCAAAATACGCACACAAGCACAAACATTATTTCCGAAGCTGAGCCAAATAGTGCAACATACAAACGAAATACAACTCATAGTGGAAGCTTTAGAGTCCAATTTGCCGCGTATATTAAATGCATTAGCGGAATACACAACAGATGAAGAGATTTCTGGTAAGTTTATTGTTAAAGAAGTATTTATGTTAGTTAATACACATTGTACAATAGCTAAGGGTCATAGTAACATTGCCAGTTCTAAAGTTAGGTGATAAAATATTAATAACTCAATCAATGTTTGATGATAATGTAAGAAGATACAACTTTCCCTCTACATCTACTTGTATGTGTCGCTAGACGCGACTAAGGGAAATGCTACACATGTAAATTACTCAGAATACTCTCGAGTTAATGGTGGGTAATTGATAGAATCAGGCGTTACTTTGCGGAAATCCATTATAATAAAAATATAAATTACTTCGCAACCTTCCGCTAGCTAAATACAATGATGTTAATTGAAGAGCGCCTCCCGACCTCCCTCAATTGCATGCACTAACTCCGTCACCACTAGTCCCAGCACCACTAATCCCAACACCACTATTCCAGGTAAGACACACCACCGACGATAATACGACACGTGTTTCGCCTCTACACGAGACATTCTCAGGTGATGTAGACTCTACGGCGGCTGATCGCTACATCCGCTCCCCACCAAAGTAGCGAGTGACCGCGCCGTGCGATAAGAAACCTGCGACTATTATTATTATGTAAACCTGCGACTATTATCATTATGTAAACCTGCGACTAATTATCATTATTGTTATGATTAATATTTTTAAATATTATTATTGTTTTATTGATATTATTATTGTTATTTATTATTATTAATTTAAAAAATATTATTAAAGATTAGCCTTAAACATGTTTAACAAAGGTGAATTAGAAACATTTGTTTGTTCATTCAGCAGTGCATTGTTACTATTATTATTTTTTAAAATCTCTAACTGCTCCAGCACACACAGTCGCAGCCCCTTATTACAAGTATGTAAGACTTTAAAGGAAAGGCCGCGGGCTAGGTTGTGTCCAGTGTCCAAGAGATGTTTAGCAAAATGGGATTTATCAGGATTGCAATTTCTGTACGCGGCCAAATGCTCTTTATAGCGCGTCCCGAAATTGTGACCAGTCTAACCCACGTAAACGGCGTGGCATTCGTCACAAACAAGTTTATAAACACCCGATTTTTGACAAATGTTTAACTTATCTTTATTATTACAAATATTCCTAAGCGAATTGTTTGTTTTGAATGCCACGTTCAAGCCGTTTTCCCTAAGATTATTAGCTATTTTTTCCGATATAGAGCCTAAGTGGGTCAAACTACCCACATATCGCCGGACACTTTGAGATCGAACCGCGTACAAATAATTGCGAACAACATGCTTTTGTTTCCTTTTAATAAGATTATTAAGATTTTTTGAAAAACCGTTAGAGACTGCAATTTGATAAATTATATTAAGTTCTTTTAAATAATTTTCTTTACTTAATGGAACAGTGAACAGACGGTTAATGTAACAATAAAATTAGTAATAATAAAATTAAAAATAATAATAAAATTTTTAAAATTAATAATAATAAATAACATTAATAATATCAATAAAACAATAATATTATAATAATATTTAAAAATAGCAATAATGATAATTAGTCGCAGGTTTGTTATCGCACGGCGCGGTCACTCGCTACTTTGGCGGGGAGCGGATGTGTCGGCGTGTATAAATAGCAGCTGTTTCGGCTCGCCGCTCACTTAGCGGTTAGCCGCCGTAGAGTCCAGATCACCTCGAGGATGCGTCGTGTAGAGGCGAAACACGTTTCGTATTATCGTCGTTGGTGTGTCTTACCTGGAATAGTGGTGTTGGAAGTAGTGGTGCTGGGACTAGTGGTGACGGATTTAGTGCATGCAATTGAGGGAGGGAGAGTGGGTGCTCTTCAATCTAGGTAAGACACATCATTGTATTTAGCTAGCGGAAGGTTGCAAAGTAATTTATATTTTCATTTAATGGTGGGTGGTTACTGCAGCCCATGGACACTTGCAACCAGCTTCAAACCATGAAGGTTAGAAATCCATTGACACCTCAGAGGAATAACATGGAATGCTTCACAGCCTGAAATTCTCAAAACGCTGACTCTACATCCTTCAGACCGTAACACAAAAGAACTATTTGGCGGTAGAAATAGGTAAGAAGGGTGGTACCTAGCTAGAAAGAGAAATCCCTCCTGGGCAGAAAGAGAGGGGTTTAATAACATTCATGGGATTTAATTGAGGGTATATCACATTCTCTTTATTATCACTATATATTGAGTGGATAATTTAAATAATTTAATGATATTTTCAGAACTGTCGAAGGCTCTGCTATCGCACGTGGATTGTACGGATACGGCAGTAAGGCGCGGAATTGCAACCTGTGTGGCTCATCTCTGCTCTCACAGGGAACCATTGCTCACCAATATACTTGGACGGGTGTTTGGTAAATTAGAATCATTGTGTATTTGGTAAAAGTTAAAGTTACAGCCAACTGCTGGGCACAGGCCTCCTCTTATTTCTGAGAGGGTTTTTGGGCAAGGAAGTGTACGCCGCGCTGCCTCAATGCGTGTTGAAGAAATTTTTTTCTTATTTCTCAGACATGCAGGTTTCCTCACGATGTTTCCCTTTACCGCCGAGCACGTGGTAAACAGCACTTTAAATTGCAAATAACAATTTTATTGGTGCCAGCGGAGATCGAACCCGGGTTGCTCGCGTACTGTGAAATTTACAGCGAGCGCTAACCATCTGAGCTACCACGGTATACGATGCACAGCACGGTGTACTTGAAAATTACAATAAGCTTCATTTTCAAGTACACCGTGCTGTGCATCGTATACCGTGGTAGCTCAGATGTTTTAATTAATAAACATAAAAATCAGAACAATACTGTGTTTTAAGGATAGATGTAGATGTATATGGGCCGTAGCATCCAATTATCATCAGGTGGACTGTGTGCTCACTTGGTACTGGTCATGGGCGATTTTGAACGCAGACCGATATTTATCCGATTTCAGACTAATAAAAAAATAAAAATAGATTTTAGACTAAAATCGATTTCAAAAACCGATTTCAGTAGCGCTACATCGCTCTATATTAGATTAGATCATCACACCATCTTGCAAATATAGCTTAATTAATAATAAGAATGATATTTATCGCATATTTCAAAGATTATTGTAAGTTTTGATATATCTGACGCATGTCTACTTGTCACGCTTAATCTATTAACATAATATACATAATAGTATAGTAGATACTCAGGCTATGTTTAGCCAAAAATATGGGTTTTAATAGAAAATTGTGAAAGAACACAAATCGCCTTCACAATCACATATGCAACATCTTTTTTGTCCCAAGTCCCACATAAACATGGCACGTATAAGTCTCAGACTAACATGGAACAAAGATTGGTAAGGAAATAACATTTTTCACGTTATTTTTTATTATATTGAGTAGTTATCAGAAAGATGTTGCTGCCCATAGAATGTTTCAGTGTCCTTATCTCGTCTTTTACTACACCCATTCTTCGATAATAGTAGTGGATATTCCTACACCATCACTACACGGTCTATTTTGTCAACGGTACATATGTATAAAAAAGGAGTGAATGCATACAAATAAAGTTGTTAATGATTTAATACTTTTGCAGAAAATCTATGGCCAACTGCGTCCAGCGATACGGCGATAATCGGATGGTTTTGCGTCATCAAAGCCATGTTTCAGATAAACAATATGGAGGGATTTACCAATACTGATTTGTTCAGCAATCAGGATTATTTAGAGGTATGTACACTGGATTAAATGAATTTTAATAAGTCTTGACATTGGGTGC